AGGTACCTATCAAAGTGGTTTAGAAAGAGGAAAATGTATGTGCTGCTATGGTTTTAGATTTGAGCATTTGAGTTTAAACCTCTTATCCATTATTAATATTAATAATATTATAAACCAGACTTAGTGTGTGTGCCAACACACCCTCTGTGTCTTGCAGTGATAGAATTAGAAAGGTGTGAAGAGGTCTGGATAGGCTAAGAGTAAAGACTTTACTTATATTAAGACCAGGTTTTATTGCATAACAAAACTGTGCTAAGGCAGTATGAAAAGGAGATCTGTTGATTACAGGTAGCTCTCAACTTAGGACCATTTAGTTAACAATGGTTCAAAGCCTTGCAGTTACTGTATGTGGTTGCAGTTTGGGTGCTTGCCAACCTGCTCCTATTTATGACCTGTTGTAGCATCCTGCAATCACGTGATTGCAATTGTTACCTTTTTTTTTTGTCGATTTCTGACAAAAAGACAGCCATTGGGGAAGCTGGATTCATTTAACAACCATGGTGATTCACTTAACCACCACTGTAAAAATTGCCATCATATTGGGTCCGACTTGACTCGTGATGGCAACAACCTATCACAACCAATTCTTGTCCTAAGTTGAGGACTACCTCAAATGGATTGATTCATTTATTCATCAATTTGATTTACATCCAGCCTTTCATTCAGGAGATCAAGGTGGCTTACATAGCACAACCTCTTCCCATTTTCCCCACACCAAGTCTGTAAGGTAAGCTAGCCTGAGATTTTGTGACTGGCCCAAAGACACCCAGGGGTACTTCCAATTAGATGAAGGAAGCTTCAGGATTATATCCTAAAAGTTGGGGGGGGGGAGGGGTTTGGATGCATATTTTTTATATCAGCTAAATCTATAGTACATTGCAAATAATGGAATGGCATCAGAATTCAATTAGTTATCTAAATGAATAGGGACCAAAAAATAAGTTTAAGTATGAACAAGGCACTCAATACCTTTTGGGGGCTGATAGATTGTACAGAAAGTGGGCCTTTTGCTAATTCATCACTCACCCTGGGCCAACATTTTAAAAGCCTTATTGCATTATTCATGCTTGTGATTTAATGTCTGCTTCAGTTTGTTCCTTTCAAAGGCTGCAAACTTTCATATATTGTTTCATTAGAACTTTCAGTGTTTATTGAATAAAGTGATATAGAAAAAAAGTTTACAACATTACGAAAAGGGTTATTTTTGGTTGTTTATATCCCCCCCCCAAGATGCCAGATTTGGAAAATAGTAGATATAAAAACAGTTGGATCCTGCTATTTAAATCCATGTATGTCTGCATATAAACTATAGCCTGGTATACTATAATATGAGAATCTTTTATGACTCCAAAAATAAAGGTTGTCTTTAACTAATGGGGGGGGGAGGTGAACATTTTTGCCAATTATCCTGCAGTCCTTTTCACTTAAAAAAAAGTTGCACAAAACATTCTGCTTTCAATTCTACCGCATTTATTTACTAATAGTACTTTTTATTCAATTAATAAAATTATGGGCCTAAATTGCAGTTGTAGGGAAAGGGCCGGTAGCTCGTGTCTTCACTAAATTAATTAATCTAGAATAAGCATCAAACTAGGAAATAATGTATTGATTCAAAGTCAGTAAATTTATTGCCTTGAAGTCAAATGGAATAACCAAAGAAAATGGTCAGCAAAAATAAGCAGATGACAGTCCCAGAGGTAGCAGAATAGCAGTGCCATCAAAACAACATTTTCCCACTTTTAATCTGAGGCATATCCTTGATGGTTACAGAAAGAAAAAGAGAAAAGGGGGAATCTGATGATAAAATTCTTTGGATTAACTAAAAGAAAGTTATGGTTAAATCCTGAAGAAGGAAGTTTTGAAACGGCAAAGAAACTGCGCTATAAAATCTGTGCTTTTCTGTCTTTGTTCTTCATATGAAATTTCATTAGCTGTTTCTTCATCAACTGCTTTAAAGTGATGTATTTGTATTACTGATAGAATCTCACTGGAGCAACATCCTTTGCCCAAAGAATCTTAAGTTTGCTTTTTGGGAATTCATTGTATGAACCCCTTCCCCCTAGTTATGAATGAAGGGGAGTTGGGATGTCTTAAGGCACAGGTCGGCAACCTGCGGCTCCGGAGCCGCATGCGGCTCTTTGAGCCTTCTCCTGTGGCTCCCAGCCTCCTCTGCCTTTGCAGACAGAGATAGAGAGAGGCAATTGCGCTTCCCTGCTTCTCTCTCTCTCTCTCTCTCTCTCTCTCTCTCTCTCTCTCTCTCTCTGTGTGTCTGTGTGTGTGTGTCTGTGTGTGTGTGTGGTGTTTTGTGTGTGTGTGTGTGTGTGTGTGTGTGTGTAAAAGAGAATGCACTCACAGTGTTCTCCGAGGAGCTGAAAAGCTTACTGGGCGGAGCTCCTCCCTTTGCTGCGTCTCTGCAGGAAGCAGGAAGCAGGAAGGGCAGGAGAGAGCTAGCTAGCCCAGCTAGGCTGACTCACGAATTCTGGGAGTTGAAGTCCATGAGTCATAAAAGAGACGAGGTTGTTGTTGGACAACAGCTTGAAGCTTGCCAGGTGAGCAGCAGATAGGAGGGGGGGGAGAAAGAGAGAGAGAGAGGAAAGAGAGAGAGAAAGAAAGAGAGTGGGGGAAGAGGAGTGGCAGACCAAGGGCAGATAGAGAGGGAGGGAGAGAGAGAGACAGAGAGAGAGACCCTTTTGACATCTAAAATGAAGATAACACTGCATATATCCTTTTTTTACCTGTGTGTGTATGTAATTTTATTCTCTTAAAGCATTCTCTTGGTGATCATTGTTTTAATAGTATGAATAGTTAAAAGGAAGAAACAGCTAAGACCACACATTGCTGCTCAAAGCACGAAGCTGAAAACACCAGCCTGAAGATGACGAATGGGACTTCGTCAAAACGTCGCCAAGACACTTCCAATTTTACGCGGGAGAAAACCCGAACAACCAAAGACCTACATATACATATACATACACACACACACACACACACACCTATAATAAAGGTAAAAAAGGATATATGCAGTGTTATCTTCATTTTAGATATCAAAAGGGTTTTGCGGCTCCCAGTGTTTTGTTTTTGGTGGGACACCGGTCCAAGTGGCTCTTTGAATGTTTTGGGTTGCCTACCCCTGTCTTAAGGGAACTGCATGTGGCCCAGTATAGATGCATTGTTCCCTATATTTGATTCTAGAAAAATACTATTTACCATCATTCAACAGGTTTGCATGTTTGCCTGATCAGTTAGCTTACAGAGAAAGATTATCAGTTTCTTTCTTCATCAATCTTGAATTAAACAAAATCAGCATTGCAGGATTTCCTTTAAAGGCTCAGAATAGAAGGACATAGTTAGCATCAACCATAGCGAAGCAGTGGAATCAGTGATTTCATTTTGGTGTTGCCAACTTAACAGCACTTTGCATTCCTTGTCAGATAGCTCAGTTGTACACTCAACATTTACCAAAGCCTTTGTTGCCTCTTTCTCTAACTTTGCAACATGCAGTTTTCCTGGCAGTGCTAATAGAAAAGTTAAGTCCGTCTTGTATCTAAGCAACTAAATTACCTCAGAACAGTGGTGGGTATTCAGTGGAAACTGTTGTCTTTCACTGGTGCTATGTTTGGAAAAGGCAGGAAATGGAAGTAATGTCTCCTCTTGTTTCTGATGTCTTGGACACCTCCCTGGAAGCGAGGTAAAAGCCCACCTTGCAGAAAGAAGTAAAGTTATTAAGAACACCATGAAGAATATTAGAGAAAAAAGTACCTTCTGCAGTGCAAGTGAGAACTTTTGGGGAGCTTACCAACGTTGACCTGGCTAAGTGAAATTATTGTTGCCTAGACCTTGTTCAGCAATCTGTGCTTTCTTCATTTGCATCACAAAATGTTCCCTGCTTTTGAACGCAGCATCTTTTTTTAAAAAAAATCTATTTTTCCTGTTTTGTGTTTAATTTTAAAGAAATCTCAGGTTCGATTATATATTTTCAATAGCTATAAAAAGGGTATTTGGCTACTTAGTTTCCAGTACATTGATCAGTAATGTCTGAATAAATCATACAGTGTAACTATATTCAGATCTGCATCATCGTATATGCTGACTTTAACAATTGATATATAGATGTTTTGTTTTCTTCTATTTGATGCAAACTGCCAGCAAGTCCCCATAGTATATGTAGCATTCAATTGTAAGAGTTGAACAAGTGGATCAGTGGTTGCAATTAATCTCTGAAACTGCAGTGCATTGCTAAATGCTGCTCAATGACTCCTATCACATCGTGTGTACAAAATAATGGCAAACGATTAGATCTCAGCCTGCTTATTTTGAATAAGCCAGTAAGAGTGACTTTATAAGCAAATCTGTTTTCCTGAACTCAAGATATTCTGGTAGAAATCACGAGTAATATTTAAATTTTCAAAATGTTGTAATATTTAATTACTTTAACCTCTGGGGAATATTATAGCGTGGTAACTACTGTTCAGGGAGTAAAAAGTAATTTGTTCTTCAAGTCATGCTGACTTCATTAGCAACAGCCTCAGCACTTTGCCCTGCTTTATTGCATAAAATCTGATTGACTGCAGTATTATTCCAGTGGAGCAATATTACAAGTAAATATAAGTGCTTTAATGTATTAAATTCATGTAAAAATGCAACAAGGAATTGTTAAGATTATGATAGTTAGCCATTTATTATCATTTAAAGAAACAGAAAACCTTGAATATTTATGTGTATTTCAACTGATCATGATGGCTGATCAGTCAATCACACATTGCGCTAGGCAGAAAATTTTAACAAAGCATTTGTCTTAGGATTTCATCTTTCCATCAGTAACTTTTCATGTTGAAAGTTAAGTGTATTCAGAGGGCTTCATGTTGACTTATTTATCAAATTTATCTATATTTTAAGGTAATGCATGTTTTTTAATTTCTGCATTAGTGCCATGATATCGCTGTAATAATTTTTAATTGAAAACATGTTATTTCATAAATACCATTATCTTTTTGTAACAGAAAGAACTATGCAACATGATACTTGATTGTTGTGCTCAGCAAAGAACATATGAAAAATTCTTTGGTTTACTAGCTGGGGTGAGTTGCCACTTTTCACATCTATATCCCTTGCCATTCCATACCCCTCGCTATGTCTTTCATAAAGAGGGCTCATTTACAAAATGTTTTTCAATATCAGTTGGTAACTTTTCATTAATGACTTGTAGTTGAAAAGATGACGCAGATAATGGCATCTTGAATTGCACAGTTTATTAACATTACAAAATAGTACCAAATATGTTGAGAAAAACTAGCATCTTCCCAGATGTTTTTTTTAAATATGGAACTTTGAGGATGTGATTTCAGTAAAAAAGATGTGTCTTTTGCTTCTGTATATGTCACTTCCAAGGGGATTCCTATTTTTCAGTACGATTCCCAATTGTAGGCTTAGTAGCTACAATAACCATCAGAGCAATGCTGTATTTGTGACAAGGTGATCTTTGGCAGTGAGGTCAAAAGGGAGAAGTATAGCTAAAAGTAATCCTTAAGAGCAGAGGTCTTCAATCTTGGCCCTTTTATGACTTGTGGACTTCAACTCCCAGAATTCCTCAGCCAAGCACACTAGCTGAGGAATTCTGGGAGTTGAAGTCCACAAGTCATAAAAGGGCCAAGTTGGAAGACCCTTGCTTAAAAGAGTCTATGTTGATGTAAAGGAAGCCAGCCTATCTTAAGACAAGTGATTCCAGTGATGGTCTTTCCAGTGGTAATATATAACTGTGAAAGCTGAACACTGAGGTAGAGTGAGAAAAAGAACATAGAACCATCTAATGGTCTGTTTGAAGAGAGTGGAGAAAAAAAATCAGTCCTAAACCAAATAATGATTGTTTTCTTGGGGTGACTGTCAGCAAGATGATACTTAGATATTTGAGGATGTGCACAGATGATGGCCTAGAAAAGTTCCTTTGCCTAGCAATGTTGCCTGGCAAAAGATGGCTGGATGGAACAAGATCACTGGAATGTCCTCTCTGATTTCCAAAATTCTCCCGCTAACTATTAGTTAAATTGTCTTCTTTTTATGTTTAGTTGTCTTTAGAACCAAACTTGTACTGGAAAAGAAACCAGTATGGTAGTCCTTGACTAATGACTAGTCACTTAATGACTGTTCAAAGTTAGGAGGGACCCACCCCCCCAAAGTACTTATGACTCTGTTCCAATGTTCTGATGGCCAGCCCTCCCGTCCTGCGCAGTCATATGACCGCTTTTTGGGCACTCAGCAACTTGCCCACAACTGTTTGCATCATCCCATGGTTACGTGACAGCGATTTACAACCTAGCCCTGGTGGCCCAGTGGTTAGAATGCCGTATTGCATGCTAACTCTGCCTATAGCCAGAAGTTTGATCCTGACCGGTTCAATGTTAACTCAGCCTTCCATCCTTCCGAGATTGGTAAAATGAGAACCCAAAGGGTTGGGAGCAATATGCTGACTCTGCAAACTGCTCAGAGAGTGCTGTAAAGCACTGAGAAGTGGTATATAAGTCTAAGTGCTCTTGCTATTGCTATTTTTCCCGAAAACCAGCATTTTCTTCTGGTTTTGGGCAAAAAGGCCCATAGCAAACAATGAGTTTGCTTAATGATTGTGGTATTTGTTAAGACCACAAACTCACTTAACTCAATGATTCGTTTAATGCCTGCAGCAAAAAAAAAGGGTCATAAAATCAGGATGATCATGTGGGTGACCTGCTTTATGACTTTCATGACTTAGGACCATAATGGGCAGGCTCCATTATGGTCATAAGTCAAGGACTACCGGTGGTTTTCCTTTTTAATTTTCTTGGTCTATTTAGTCCTAGCACAGTGCTGAAATCAGTTTTTTTCCCCTCATTCAGTTTTCTTTGCTGTGTTTTTATTTTATATTTAGCGCTTCTGTATGTTGAAAAAAGAATACATGGAATCCTTTGAAGCAATTTTCAAAGAGCAGTATGATACTATACATCGGTTGGAAACGAACAAGTTGAGGAACGTTGCCAAGATGTTCGCTCATCTTTTATACACAGATTCGCTTCCATGGAGTGTATGTAGCCAACATTTGTAGCCTTGCACTATCCATTGAGTTTTGTATAACTTTTTTTTTTAACTTCTATAGATGTAAGTGGAATTATTTCCAATACATATTGAGAGTGAAGAATTACATTGACTTTCAAGTCTGGCAAGGGACACAAATGCTTTGAAAGAGAGGATTTCTTGAATTTAGGAAAAATTGAGATAGTTTGTTTGCTTGGAATCTATACTTGGCTTAACTGATAATGTGATGTATGTATGTATGTATGTATGTATGTATGACTATATTAACAAATATTTATCACGAGGAATATGCTACCACTCGAGGAAAATCAAAATGCATTAGGAAACAAAGGAAAATGAGTTTATTTTAAAGAGGAAAATAATATTTGGCATTTAGTTATCCCTTCTGTTTGTAGGTCCTTGAATGCATATCTCTAAGTGAAGAAACTACAACATCATCCAGTAGAATTTTTGTTAAAATATTCTTCCAAGAGCTTAGTGAATATATGGGACTTCCTAATCTTAATGCAAGGTTGAAAGATGAGTAAGTAACCAATCATATTGTAAATTACTTTTCTAATACCTTGTTTAGGATTGTTTATAATTTTATCAGATTGTTAAACATTAAAGTTGATAAGTAACACACAGTTCTCAGAGGGATTTAATACATTTTAATAAAAGGTAAAATCTCCCTTAAAGCCCTAATAACTTACATGGATATATCCATGTTGTTTTCTTTAATAACAAAGTGGAAAGAGTTTGACATTGCCTTCTTGTGGGATTTGGCTTTCAACTTTCGGTTTGTAACACTCTTGAAATTTCTCGTGTTCTCCCATCCAAGTGTTAAACCTGCTTATTTTTATTGAGACCAGCAAAGGCAATGTTTCCCAACTTTAACAGTTTTAAGATATATATGGACTTCAATTCCCAGGATTCCTTCAGCCAGCATGCTGGCTGGGAGAATTCTGGGAGTTGAAGTCCACACATCTTAATGTTGCTGAAGCTGAGAAACACCACGTTAAGGTAAAAGTAAAAGATGTCACCTGCTGGGATATATTGTAATGCTGCAGTAGTAAGAGTAACGCTTCCTGTGTAATATAGAATCCAGTAAAAAGATGTGACTTTTGCTTCTCTCCCAGCTCTTTTCCCAGTCATATACCGAAGGGGGAAGGGTTGTCCCCACTTTTCCCCTCATCTCTCATATTCTGTTTCAGGCACCATCTGCCATCTCCATTCATCATCACTACGAATCCTTTTGTTTCTTTATTGCAGACATGTCAAACACAAGGCCCGGGGGCTGGATGTGGCCCGCGAAGTGATTTCATGTGGCCCGCGAAGCTATCCTGGAAACAGTGAAGGAACGGCCCCCACTGCCTTGGCCCCGGCCCAGGTCGGCCGGGAGCCAATGTACAATTTTGTGATGGCCATCTATGCTGAAATGCATTCAGTCTTAGCTCCACAAGGCTGTCTGGAAACAGTGAGGAATCAGCCCCTGCCGCGTCAGCCCCACCTCCTGGGTGCATGCTGGGGAGGTTTCACCCTTTGTGAGGAATGAAGAAATGCACCATCGCCTGGAAGTGGCCAGCAAATGGCCCTCGCCTACTTCACCTATCTGGCTTGATGGGCTCCGGGGGAGGGGTTTCGGCAGACATCAGGGTGCTCTCCTCACAGCGCCAAGAGCTGAGCCAGGTGGCGCAAATCTGATGAGAAGTGCAATACTGCCTAGCCCCCAGTCTGCCCAGTTTCAGTAGGCAGCAAGATGCAAAGCTGACGAGCTTCACACCGCCTGGCTCAACCTCTTGGCACTGTGAGGAGAGCGCCTCACTTCCTGCCTTGACGTGAATGATATAGAGCTAGCCATGCCCACCCAGTAGGCCACACCCACCCAGTGGGCCTCACCCACTCGGCCCCCCCAAGAGCAACCGCAATGCTGATGCGGCCCTCAGTGAAATTGAGTTTGACACCCCTGCTTTATTGGGTGGCAGTTGCAATTCTTGCATGGCACCACATGGGGGCAGATGGCAGCATCACCCAGTAACTTGATTAGACCCTCTGTGGCTGCCAATCTGAAACAAAAGTAGGAGAGATGAATGTTGGTAAAGATCATTTCTTTGTGTGCTTCAGAGATTTTTTTTTTTTGTTTGGGGTTGCAAGGAGCAAAGGGTCCATTAAATGCTATTAAAATTATTGCACTTGGCTCATTTTGAAGAAGATAAGATAAACAGTTATATAAGTGAGCCCAGAATTACAGTCGTAAGTCATACCAGTCTGAAAAGCGGGTTTCCAGGTGACCCAACTTTTTTCCAGCATTTGTTAAGCAAACATTGTAGTTATTAAATGAAGCCATTGTATTCAGTGGCCATTTTTTGCCAGAAACTGTAAGTAAATGCCAGCTTCCAGTAAAAAAAGAAAAAAAAACTTGTAAATTGTCACTACATGACTGCAGGATGCTGCCCAATAACCATAAATGTGGGCCAGTTGCCAAATGCCCCAAATTCAATTATATGATGGGGGTGGGGGGGGCATCAGTACTTTGAAATAGGGTTGTAAGTAATTCTGAGGAGATCTGTTGTAACTTCAAACGATTATATGTTAAGGACTTTCTGTAAATTATGTTTCTTTAAAGTAAAGGGGCAAAGTAAAATCTAACACAGGGTAAAAGTTTGCCCTTCCTCTCCAAATACAACCTTCATCTTGCCTGCCATCGTGATTTCAATATTGTCCAGATTTCTGGGTTATAAAGTGAATTAGCCCTGACCTAGCAGGACTTTATAGTAGCATCAATTTTAATTAATTGGTGAAATTTACCACTGATCTGGTATTGAATAATGAGCAGCAGATCAACCAGATCAACTCATACCTTTTTCTACCATCAGAAGGCCTTATATGGGATGAGTCAGTCTAATGTTGTTTAAATGGCATTTTGTATTACGTGTCTAAAATATTTTTAGAGAAAAATAACACTAATTTTATTGAGCATAATACCGTTGGGAAAAAATTAAACATTTGATATAGTTTTTTCTCAAACTAGTTGTCAAAAGACTTTAAACACTTGTTTCAGTAAGAAGTAAATTGAAGAACGGTCTAATTCTAGAGCAATTGCTTCTTCGCAAACATGTATTCATTACTTTAGATCAGTGGTGGCGAACCAAAGGCACAGGTGCCAGAGGCAGCACTCAGAGCCCTCTCTGTGGGCACACGCGCCGTCGCCCCAGTCCTAGGCCTTCAGCTGGGTTTTATAAAACCTTTTTGCTTTAGGCCTCCGCCGCCGTGTGCAAAAAAAAAAAAGGTTCAATCAATCAGTCAATTTCAACTTCTCGCGGGAAAAAAAGATCTTGCAAAGTTGGAATTGATTGATTGAACTTTTTAGTCCCATCCAGTTTGCCATTACCACCGTATCCACGCCCACCCAATGAGCCACACCCACCCGGTACCCGACGATGCATAAGTGGGTTTTGGGTTGCAGTTTGGGCACTCGGTCTCTAAAAGGTTTGCCATCACTGCTTTAGATGGATAGCAGCCTTACCATAAAACCTCTCTTGATAAAGCTGATACATTGGTTAATCTAACAACACCAGTCTCTGTAAAGAAAAAGCTTCTTAACTCATTGATCCTGTGCAAGGACTAAAGAATGTGGGTTTTTTTGCTTTATACAAAAATATATACCGTATGTCCATTTTACTTTGAAATTAGAAAAATTGATATATGTTGTGGATCATTTTGAGTGAAACATAAGGCAGGCCAAAGTAAAACCCAGATTGTTTAGGTTGAACTAAGGAGAAATTTCTTGACAATTAGAACAATTAACCAATGGAACAAGCTGCCTCCAGAAGCGGTGAATGCTCCAACACTGGAAGTTTTTAAGAAGAGACTGGACAGCCATTTGTCCAAACTGGTGTAGGGTTCCTGCCTGTGCAGGGGGTTGGACTGGATGACCTCCAAGGTCCCTTCCAACTTTATTATTATTATTATATACAGAAGGCAATATATACAGACGTATGTTCTGTAAGCAGCCCAGAGTCACCCTATCGGGGAGATCAGCAACATATAAATTTAATAAATAAATCAATGTACACTCCTACCCATGCCTTTTTCTGTTTCCTCCCCTTAGCCACTGCTGATTTTCAAGCACTGCATTTCCTCTCAACTCTCCTCATCCAATCTTTCACATACTTTTTTTCCCTGCTTACACCTACATAATGGACACAATTACAGACACCTCTGCTTCCTAGGGCCATACTTTCCTGTCACAAGTTTTCTTACAACTTCATTTAATGATTTTTTAAAGAAGTCTTTGTGTTGTACTCCTTCAGAATGTATGCTCCCAGTAAACTGTATTTATTGAAAAAATCACTTTCCCATCCCATCTGCCAGTGAAGGATTTTTAATTTAGTAAGGTGCAGATTTCTATAGTAGCAAATCTTGTGTAAATTGAGCTGATTGTTTTAAATATTTCTAAACTGGAATCAAAATACATTTGTGTGGAGCATTTGATATTCTCAGTCTTAGAAAGGATTGTTATGTTTGTTTTTTAACAGAACCCTGCTACCGTTCTTTGAAGGATTATTACCACGTGACAATCCAAGAAATACTAGATTTGCAATCAATTTCTTCACTTCAATTGGCCTTGGAGGATTGACGTAAGAAATTGTTTTTTAATTTATGTATATACATACATATTTAAGAAGTTCCTGTACATTTGTCACATAATATAGATTTTGGATCTGACCCTATGTATACTAGCGAGTGAAAATATATTCAAACTTTGCTTCTAATGTCCCTCAAGATAGCTATTGGAGACAAATGCACAAGCAAGGCCTATAATTTGAAACCCAGTACATCTGTGCACAACTCTGTGAGATCAGTATTGCGACAAATTTGACAATTCAACATTTTATGTTGGCCTTCACGTGCTGGTTCTACTTAAACACTCTTATTAATGTGGGCAACTTTTTCATCATTGGAGGCTGCTTTTGTTTACCTTGTGTTTTTTTCAGAAGTTAGAAGTCCCCAAAGATGAAAATGTGGAAAAAAAATCCACACTGCTGATCCTGGGTGGTGTTATCAGTATTAGGTAGAGATGCGTTCTCACCAGACATGAGTCTGAGGAGAAGGTATCACCCAAACCAATTTACATGTTGGCATTGACTCTACAATCTCAACAAGAAATTTAATACTGGATGGAGTTGGGTTGACAGCGATTAGTAAAGTAGCTTTTATCAATTCAGTAAGATTTTTAAAAAAAATAGAAATACAAGGCAGGGTACAACTCAACAACCACTTAAGTTATTTTTATATATTTTATGTTTTGTTAAATTTGTTTCAATAGCGATGAATTACGGGAGCACCTGAAAAATGCACCAAAAATAATAATGACTCAGAAGCAGGATGTGGAGTCATCTGATTCCTCTTCAGAATCAGATACATCTGATTCGGAGGAGGATTCCAGCAGCAGTGAGAGCTCAGGATCCTCTAGTGGGAATGAATCCAGTTCTGACAATTTAGACAGCAGCGGCTCAGGTAAAGTTCTGTCATCAGTTTCCTTTAGTGATGAGCCATTTGTTCAAGCAGGCTGCCTTTTTTTGCTTGAAGGTAATTTGAGATGTCTAAAATCTGCAAACATTCAGAGTAATAAATCACCTGGCTAAGAATGTAATGGGTGGTTCATATAAAAGAAACATTGGGATAGGCTTTAGATAGAAATGTTATGCCATACAGCGATTTAATATTCTGGAACTATGGAATTAGAATAACCAGACTACCTCTTTGAAGGCTTTTCTATCACCCTCACCTCAGTTAGAGGATTATGAGTTTTCATATGTCAGGTTATTTAATTTTGAAGTATGAAATGCATATGGAAGCAAGAAGTCTTGAAAAAACATTCCTGTTCTTTAAAAAGTAAAATCCACAAGGGTGAGGAAGGGAAAGTGAAGACTGATGTGACAGAGACAACAAGGACACAAGTAACTAATTTTCCCATTTAACAGACTCTTATTTACAGTAAGTCTTCAAGTCAATTCATTTGGGTTTATCCCCAATGAAAAATACAAGTGTCCTCAGGTTACAACCACTTGTTCAGCAACTTTTTAAACAATGGTGCTAAACAAGTGGTACTTACAACTGATTCTCTGAGGTCCAGCCATTTTTGTGTCTCCCCAATGATCATGATTTCCAATATTTCTGTTGGCTTCCCAAGAGCAAAGTCAATGGGGAAGCCAGTTGAAAATTGCATTCACGAGATCCTTGCCTAACAACCTGTGAAGTCCCCTGTTAATGATAGCAACTGGGACTGCCATCATTAAGCAATGCAATCATGTGACATTGTGCTTTATGACCACATTGCTTAATGAGGCAATTCGGGTCCCAATTGCCATTTTAATCTGAGGACTATCTTGTAAATATTTTAAAATTGCAACTTTACTATAGCTTTTTAATATAGTTAGCTGGAGAAAATTCTGCTATGATCCATTCTCTTGATTGATTCCCACAATGGCAGATTTATTGCCGTCTGAAATTCACTTCTTTTTCATCATCTTTAAAAATACTCTCTCACACAAAAAAAAGTAATAACGTACACCAATAACATACTTGGGAATTATGCAAAAGAAATACATTCAACATGCATAATGAAAACGCCATGGTGAAGCCCCTCAGGCATTGCTAAAATAGAAGAGCTTTATTTTGTTTGCCTCTCTTATTAATTAAAGATATGATGCAGTTCTTTTTGGCATATGTATGTGGCTCTGTAGAAAATATTAATAGTTATTTTTAGATTAATGTAATGAAGCGCAGTGCAACCCAGCTGATTTTACATTTTATTACATATTATCCTGCTTTGTTAAGATTTATTACCATGTCAGAGTGTCGGCTTTCCCTGGTAAACCAGATAGAATCACAACTAGATCAGCTAGTTCTACTTTATTGTAAAGCTACATTGATAGAATCTTGCAAGTTTAAAAACACTATTCTTCCCCATCTCCTTTATTGCCCAAGAAACTAGGGAAGGTCACTTCTGAGCCCCTTGCCTTGCCCACTATGCAACTGCAGGCTATGCTGTCTCTTACCTGATCATTCTCTAGGCAGCATTTCTTTCCTTTGTCTCCCAAGGTCTTTTATCACATTCTATTATATGGATCATATCTGCAGTTAATTGTTGGGGCAGCTGATAGCCCAGCATGAGTTTCTGCATTGAAAAAGGATTTCAAGTAAATTAGCTATATGGGTGAGATCAAAGGCAAAAATACAAATAATCCTCAATTTACAATGGCAGTCCCCGTTCCCGTTGTTAAGCAGTTTTAAAACTAAGGCAACTTCCTGCTAGTTTCCAATGACCAAACGCTGTGGGGAAGCCGGCTGACAGTTGCAAGTCCCAGGTCAGCAGGCAAGTAAGTGTGGTCAGTGCTTGATGGTACAAGAAGATGCATGAGGATTGTGGATTTGTGTGTGTGTGTGTGTGTGTAGGGTACGTGAGAGACATTTGTGTCAGAGAAGCGATGGGATACATGAGAGGTGTGGCACTGGTCAAGGAAGGTATGGGGGATGCACAGGAGGTACAATGCAGGTCAGGGAGGATATGAGAGGATATGCAAAAGGCATGGGTTGTGATGGGTGTGAGGTGTGAGGGAATGCAAGAGGCATGATAGGGACAGTGAAGATGTATATGAGGGATGGCCAAGGTCAGGCAGTGTACATAATATGAGCAGTTGTGCAAGCAGCACAGGTCAGGGAAAGTGTGTAAGGGAAGACACAGTGCAGGTTGAAGAGAGTGTATGAGGGGGGTTATAAGTGGCACATATCGGAGAGGGTTGCATAAGCAGGTGCACAAGGGTGCAGGGTTAGAACGGTGCACAAGGGAAGGTGTGCAAGGGTGCAGCACACATTAGAAAGTGCAAAGAGATGTACAAAGAAGTTGTGGCAAGGATTCAGGGAGGGTGCATGAGGTAAGAGTAAGTGGCTGGCACAGCATGAGTGCAGGAGGGAGGTGTACAGGTGTGGGAGACTTACCCCAGAAACTTGCAACCTTCCCTGCCAAATAAAGGTTGCCAAGCACCCAGATCAGGTTCATACAACTGAAGAAGTTCTGGGACGTCTAAACCTCCAAGAATTGGTTGTAAACACCATTCATTTAATGCTGCTTTAACTTTGAACAGTCACTGAACAAATGGTTGTAGGTTAAGAATGACTGGTATTTTAATTCACCTGACATCTTTTGCTTGCCCAAGCTGCTCCCTGCTTCCCCAGCCTCTCTACACTCAGGGAGCACCATTGCCTGCTTCCCTCAATCTCCCTTGGCTCCCATACCTCCCCTGGCTGTCCTCTACTTACATGGTCGGTCCCTTGCTTCTCTGATCTCCCTTCAGTAGTTCGGCATGGCATCCTCTTTCCCCCAGTCTCCCTTCATTCTAGCATGACCTTTCCCAGCTCCTCTACCTCCTGTGCCCCCGCAGGGCACTTTGCCTTCCTTACCTGGGACTCCTGCTATTTCCAGTTAACAAGTCGCGCATCTTGGGACTATGATGGCAGCTGGGACTGCTGGGATCTTTGGTGCTAAGTGAGGCAGGTACATGAAGTTCTAGCATCACTTAGCGATGGCAGTCCTGGTGCCAGTTGCCATCGTATAGCTCATTTTTTAAACGCAGTTTAGAACTTGCATATCCTTATTATTCATTATTCCTTTGATATATAAACGTGCTTTTCTCACTGAATGGGAATGTCAAATTGCCTGGTAGGGTTTCTAGCTTTCCTATAAAACATTGTTTATAGTGTAACAGTGTTGTTGTTGTTAATTGCGAAGTCGTGTCCAACCCATCGCGACCCCATGGACAACGTTCCTCCAGGTCTTCCTGTCCTCTACCATCTTCTGGAGTCCATTTAAGTTCACACCTACTGCTTCAGTGACTCCATCCAGCCATCTCATTCTCTGTCGTCCCCTTCTTCTATTGCCCTCAATCTTTCCCAGCATTAGGCCCTTCTCCAGTGAGTCCTTCCTTCTCATTAGGTGGCCAAAGTATTTGAGTTTCAATTTCAGGATCTGGCCTTCTAAAGAGCAGTCGGGGTTGATCTCTTCTAGGACTGACCGGTTTGAACGCCTTGCAGTCCAAGGGACTCGCAGGAGTCTTCTCCAGCACCATAGTTCAAAGGCCTCAATTCTTTTGCGCTCAGCCTTTCTTATGGTCCAACTTTCACAGCCATACATTGCAACTGGGAAAACCATGGCCTGGACTATACGCACTTTTGTTGGCAGGGTGATGTCTCTGCTTTTTAGTATGCTGTCTAGATTTGCCATAGCTTTCCTCCCCAGGAGCAAGCGTCTTTTAATTTCTTGGCTGCAGTCCCCATCTGAGGTGATCTTGGAGCCCAGAAAAATAAAATCTGTCACTACCTCCATTTCTTCCCCATCTATTTGCCAGGAATTGAGAGGGCCGGATGCCATGATTTTGGTTTTCTTAATGTTGAGTTTCAAGCCAACTTTTGCACTCTCCTTCTTCACCCGCATCAAGAGGCTCTTTAGTTCCTCTTCACTTTCTGCCATTAGTGTGGTATCATCTGCGTATCTTAGGTTGTTGATATTTCTCCCGGCAATCTTAATTCCAACTTTTGATTCATCTAGCCCTGCCTTTCTCATGATGTGCTCTGCATATAAGTTAAATAGGCAGGGCGACAGTATACATAGCACCCTAAGCATAGAAATGTTTTATGTGTAAATGTTTCTGGGTAAAAGGCCATTTCCATTAAATAGTTGTCTTAAGCCAGTGTTTCCCAAAGTGTGGTAAGCGTACCCCCAGGGGTACAGGAAGAGTTTGGTGGGGGTACGCGTTGCACTGGAGTTTAGTGGGGATCACGTGGGAATATCCACTGCACCGTGCTTAGCTGCGCCCACAGAACAAAGAAAGAAATAGGCGCGTATCGCAGTTTTTACATGGGAACTGGGGCCATCATACATCGTATCGCAACTCATTATGACGGGAACTTCTGCGCATCCTTCGCGCAGCTCTGGTTCGGCCATTTTTAAACTGCGGGAACATTAACAGTTAACGTTGAGCCTCGGAGCTGTTTAAAAGCCGGAGAATTGCAGTGTTATCAACAGTTAGACAGTCTTGTGAGGCATGACACGGCGTGAATATACTGCACTTCGTTATAGAGACAACTTACTTCTTTAATAGTTAATTCCGGGCGCCTGTTATCGTGCTTTAGTAAGTTCCACTGATTTTGATTATTTTTATAAGATACAATTTTTATCCCTAACAGAGATTATGGATCGCTGGTTGAAATCTGGAACTACTAAACCGAAAGAAAGTAATGATTGTAATAGCAATCAACGAACAGGAAATAATGAAATTAACGACGAATCAATTTCAATTCTGAAAGAACCTGTTAAGAAAAAAGCAAGGAAAACTCGCAAGTACGACAAAGAATATCTTAAATTTGGATTCTCATGGACTGGAGATGAAAATGAGCCTATTCCACTTTGTGTCATTTGTTTTGAAAATCTAACAAATGAAAGCATGAAACCATCCAACTTAAAGCGCCATTTTGAGACAAACCATAATCAGTACAAAGATAAACCCATAGATTTTTTTGAAAATAAACTTAAGGGTTTAAATCAGTCTCAAAAAGTAATGCAGGGTTTGACGGGAGGTGACAATCAAAAAATACTAGAAGCTTCATATCGCGTGTCACTTTTAATTGCCAAGTGTAGTGCAGCGGAAACCATTGGCGAAATTTTAATCAAGCCTGCAGCCAAGATAATGGCAGAAGTAATGATAGGAGATAGAGCGAAACAAACTTTTGACCACGTTCCTCTCTCAAATAATACAATTCATCGACGAATCATTGATATGTCTAATGTAAAACAGATGTTATTATCTGATATTTCTCAAAGTCGTTATTATGCATTGCAAGTCGATGAGTCCATCGACATTGCGAATTTTGCAAATCTTATGGCGTTTGTTAGATACGAAAAAAATCAAGAAATTCATGACGACTTTTTATTTTGCCAGCCTTTATTAGGTCACACAACAGGAGAAGATATCTTTAATGTTATGAATACATTTATGCAAGAGAACAAAATTGATTGGAATAGATGTGTTGGAATAAGCACAGATGGAGCAAAAAGTATGGTCGGAATTAATAAAGGACTCGTTGCAAGAATTCAAAATGTTGCTCCAAATGTCATATCCACACATTGTTGCATACACAGAGAGGCTTTGGCAACACATAAGATGCCCGCTGATCTACAGAAAGTTCTGGATGAAAGCGTGAAAATCATTAACTACATTAAAAGCCGCCCTTTGAATGCACGACTTTTTTCGCAAATATGTGAAGAAATGGGAAGTAGTCATACCCAGCTGCTTTTTCATACCGATGTTCGTTGGCTATCTCGGGGAAAAATTCTAAACCGATTGTTCGAACTTAGACATGAACTTCAATGCTTTCTTAATGATAGATTTGAGTTGAGAAATTGTTTACATGACTGGAAATGGCTTTGTAAACTAGCATACTTAGCAGATATATTCTCTGTTTTAAATTGCCTCAACTTATCGTTACAAGGCAAAGAAATTTCATTGTTTCACGTTCAAGATAAAGTGAACGCTACCATCGCAAAACTAAATTTATGGCAAAAGAGAGTTGGTAATGGAGAAGTAGACTCATTTCCCTCTCTTCATGAGTTTATAACAAGTTCGGTTACTAAAATTGAGGCTGATACTTTGAAATGCATAATACAGCATTTGGAGAGTTTGCAAGTTGGCTTGAAAAACTATTTCCCTGATTTAAACGAAAATATTGAATGGATAAGATATCCGTTCAACATTAACACAACATCCATGCCAGAAGGATTGTCGCATGCGGAAGAAGAGCAATTGTTGGAGTTAGCTTCGGACGGATTCTTGAGAAATAAACATAAGGAGTGTACTTTAACATCATTCTGGTTACAAATGCAACATGTGTATCCAGTTTTAACAGAAAAAGTCCTGAAATACATCTTGCCTTTTCCAACTTCATATTTATGCGAAATTGCTTTTTCTGCATTGGTAGACATTAAATCGAAAAAAAGGAACAGACTATTGGATGTGGAACCGGATCTCAGATTAAAATTAACAACCAGGGAACCAAATTATGATGATCTGTCATCTCAACATAAACAATTTCATCCTTCTTATTGAATCAAATAAATGTTCTTTATAATATAACTTTCGTTTATTTTGTGTATGTACAAAAAAAGAAAAAATAAATATATTTTGATTTTTATTAAAGCATATGTTTTTTATGAGGGGTACTCAGCGTTACGAAAATTATAGAAGGGGTACACATATGTCAAAAGTTTGGGAAACACTGTCTTAAGCCATGGATGTGAAGCCATGTAGTTGTGCCGGAAATTGGAAACAACAAAATTTTGAAGGTGTGACAGGATTATTTTTTGTTCATGTTAAATAAGGGTTGTTTTTTTAAACATCTGCACTTTAGAAGAAAATCAAAACACAGATGGTACTAAAATGGCAAGATTTTAATTGAATTGAATGATGTTATAGTTGTTGGGGTCCATTGGTCGTATTTCCTAATCTGTGAATTTTACACACACAAATGTCAAAATTCAAAATCAGTAATAAAGAAATGAAAGTTGGCATTTTCGAGAGAAATGCAGATGGTGGGCATTTCCTGGGAAATAAACAGAAAAGCTTCTGATAATAATTCTTGCCATGAAATGGCTGATATGGCCTCCCTGGGTGAGCAGAAACATTTCAGCTTATGTCAATGAGATATCACATCTCTTTCTTTGGTATTATTCTCCATTTCTTGAGAGTAATTAATCAGACTTTTCTTACCTATCCCATCTTGGGAATTTTGAATACAAGCAACATGGTTTGACAAATTAAAATTTTAATCTTAGAGTGAAAGCCCTGGGTTTTTTTTTCTTTCAGATAAGAAAAAGTCTCAAAAGAAGAAAAATCCGGATAAAGGTGCCCAGAGAAAACAAGAGAATAAGAAGAAGAAACTCGAAAATGAGAAAGAAGGGAGGCGGCTCGAGAGGGAAAACAGTGCTGCAAGAAACTCAGAGAGGAATGCTGACAAAAGCTCTATTAGAAAAGATGAAACATATTATGATAGAGATTATTCCAGCGATAGAAATAATTCCCGGAGTGGAAAGGAGAGGAATCGAGAAAAAAATGTACTTTTAGACAGCAAAACCGGCCATTCTAAAAAGAGAAAAGAAAGAAGATCTTCTTTTTCTGAAGATGAAGAGAGGGACAGGCACCATAGAGGGGACAGCAAGCTCCAGAGAGGGAAGAAGGACAGGTCTAAGTCCAGAGAGAGGCCTCACCATTATCCCAGTCCCGGAGAGTCTGAGGAAAACAACCAATATTCAAACCAGTATAAAGATATAAGGAAAGACGAAAGCAGGAGAAGGCATAGAAATGCTTCCCCATCCAGGCACAAATGAATCAAGAAGAGTTTTCAATATCGCCTTGCCATTTGAACTGTCTTTTTACAACTTGCTACACATTTTTTTAAAGAGAAACCTTTTGTACAAAATACTTCCAAATAGTAATGACTCTTCGAATCACTGTTAATTGTTGGAGCTTTCCGCTAAAGCTGCTGCTTAAAAGACTTTGAATCCAAGAGGAATTGAAGCCCTGTTATTTTGCCAGTAATACAGTTAAAAGTTGCTTTTCATTGGGATAGTAGTATGCTGTAGATATTTCTCCTTTAAATTTTATTTGTGTTCTCTGGAAATGCTAAACATTCCTTTCTTTTCAGTTTTGAATGTTAGATTTCAGTATATATTAAAGTATCATTCAGAAATAACATTTGTGGGGATTTTTTGTGAATTGCAGACTAAAAGGGCAGTCTTTTAAATCTGACAATGAAAAATAGATCAGTGTTTGGAAACTAAAGCTTTACCAATATCTATCATGGTATATTGGCCACATCCAATGCCACATATGCCTGAGATAAGCCCATCCCTGGATAAGCATGATTGATCCTTGTCTTTTTAACCAAAATGATATGATAACTTGCTATATGTGGATAAGTCAATTGTGAAAGTATAAATGAAAAAAATTTGAGGTCGGCTTATCTTCAGATGGCACCTTTTCATAGTATTTTGGTTAAAAATTCAAGGGTTGGCTTATCTACAAACAGACTTTGACACAAATATATGTGAGATTATACACACACACACACACACACATTCATACATACAGTATAAATTGGAAGGGATCAAGTTTAAAAAACGATTTTTTTATCAGAATTTGGAGAAAAAAACTCACACAAATTGGTTTAAAGAACAAGGCAGATTAATTATATGTTCTAGATGGAAAGCAGTTGTGAATACACAAAAGTAATATGTTGATCCTTGTGGCTGTAAATTTAGTTGTAAATTCTAAATCTACAAAATTTAGTTGTAAATTTTAAACAAGTTATGCTTCTGTTTAGAATTTTAAAATCTAAAGCTCAAAAAATAAATATGTTGAAATTGCCTCTTGTTAACTGAAAAAAGTCATTATAAAAGCTGAAGTTGAATAAAAATTCATGTAGCAGGATGGCTGGATATTGCTTTGATGATTTAATCATAAAAGATTATTTCTTTAAAAACCTAGTCAGAGTATGGGTATTTTTTCACTTCTGAAAAATATATAATTCTGGCAAGAACTATATTTGGTATTTTTAAATTATTGCCATTCAGGGTCTGATGTGAACAGTACTTTCATCAAATCTTTGTATCACCAATTGTTTTAAAATGCTTATGAGAGTTATCTATTGAATCAAAATCAAAATATATAAAAGCAATGCAAAACCTGCTTTCAATTAGCCATGAAAATAATACCACTGTTTAATAATTTCCATGAATACTTGTTAGTAAAGGAACATATGGGTGAACTATATAATTTAAGGCAATGTAGGAATAGAGTCTGGTTAGTCTATGGTAGGAAAAAAAAGGAATTTGGTAGCATCATTTCCATTTTTTTATTACAAGATTCTTTTGTGAGTTGCAGATCACTTTATTAGACTCATAGAAAGCCATCTGCATCCAATGAAGTGAGCTGCAGCCCATAAAAATTTATGCCAAATGGGAAAGGGTACTATCAGTCTCTTTCTATGTAATTTAAGTATCATTGAGGATAACACAACAAAAAACATTAAAATAGATAGGCTGTTGGTTTGATCTCTGAGCTTGGCAATTTGGCTGCAAATGTTTCGTCTCCATTCGGGTGGATATCTTCAGTGCACTTTGAATTGTGCTTATCTGTCAGAGCACTGGCCCTTGTGTGATGTAAATTGATGTTTATTTGTCTGGATGTTTCTGAGTCATGGTCTGATTTTGAGTTGTTTGGTTGGCTGGCTATTGTCAAGACATGGTCTGGTTTCTTGTGGTAGGAGGGGTTGTGATTTTTGCTGTGCGAGGGGGTGCCTTTTTGTTAAAATGCTGCCTTCAGGATTGCAATTGAAGTAGTTCCTTCGTTCTCAGCGGTTGATAGATTGGGTCGGTGTCAGTGTGTCTGTTTATTGACACATTGGTGGAGAACCAGGTTTTGAAGAATTCTCTTTCTCCCTGTGATTTCATTTGGGTTACAACTGTGGTCCTGGTTAGATCAAACTTGTGTCCTTCTGAGTCTTTGTGGAAGGAAATGAGGGATAAGTGGGTCATGTCTTTTGATAGCCAGGAAATGCAGTCTGATAGTTTTCTTCCTGCTTGGCCCACATAGTTTTTTTCACAGTTGCTCCATTGGATTTGGTATATGATACCTGATCTTTGGTTTGTTTCTGTCTGCTCCTTAGGTTTTGACAGGGTCCATCTGAGAGTTGAGGCAGGTTTTTGGGCTACTATGAGGTCGTGTTGGCCTAGTAGTCTTGCTGTCATGTCTGAAACATTCTGTATTGTGATTCATTTGGTCGTTGTTGTTCCTGTTGCAGCTGTTGTGTTGCCTTGGGTGTTTGTACTGTTTGTGTGTAATGATCTCTGGATGAAGTTTCGTGGGTATCTGTTTCTCTTGAAGACTTTGTATAAGTGTTCTTGTTCTGCTGATCTGGCTTCCGTGGTGTTGCAATGGGATTCCACTCTCCCGATGCAGCTTTGTTTGTGGCCTTTGGGGTGGTTGCTGTGGAAGTTGAGGATTTGATCTGTATGTGTTGTCTTCCTGCACACGGATGTTAGTAGTTGGCCATTGGTGGTTCTGGTTATAAGGATGTCCAGGAAGGGCAGTTGTTGTTATTCTTGGTTTCTATTGTAAATCGGATGTCTGCGAAGATGTTGATTCTTTAGTAGGTTTGGTCAGTTCTTTGGTAGGTTTAAAATAGATGTCTATAAAAATATTTTATTAAATCAACTGTCAATACAATTTGTACTCAAATTGTTCCCAATTTGTTCTCTTTTCTTTCTTAGCTTTTCAATTGTTTTCATTCTTTTAAAGCCACTGAATTGTGTCAAGAACAAAAATCTGTATGATAAAAGAGATGGGAATATTGCCCTTCTTCCTTTCCTCTATTCCTGAGTGGGATACTTGCAGATTTATTTTCCAGATGTGAAATCCGCCCATGATCAGGCCAACATCATTTATTGAAAGCATGTACAGAGCTGGAAAAAGCTCTGAAAAGAATAATAAAGATGATTGGGGAAATGGTTTCTTCTGCCTACCCTTTCACAATGAGAATTTCTCTTATATCTCACTCTGTATGGAAGCCTATTTATTTGTTTGTTGTGCAAAAGTTCAGAACATAGCAGCCCTGTCAGTGAGGGAGGACCTTTATAACTTCCACACGGACAGGGTGGTGTTACGTTTGGACCCCTCCTTCGTTCCAAAGGTCAATTCCCTATTCCACAGAGCACAGGAGGTGGTGCTATCAAACTTTTGCCCCGAACCATCCCATGAACTGGAGCGCAAGTGGCACACCTTAAACGTTCACAGAGTTTTAAAGCAGTACATCAAGCGAATGGCACCCTTCCGTAGATCAGAAGCACTGTTTGTCTCCTTCCATTCTCACACAAGAGGTCGGAGGGTCACCGCATCCACAATCGGTAGATGGATTAAAAGGTGTATAGGGAGGCATACAGGAGACAGTCCTTGATGGTCCCCAGGCAAATCACTGCACATTCCACACACAGTGCTGCAACCTCAGCAGCATGGACAACTCAGGCTTCAATTGAAGAAATATGTAGAGCAGCAACGTGGACATTGCCTTCCCCTTTTATAAGACACTACAAATTAGACAGATTTGCATCTGCGGAGGCCTCCTTTGGCAGGAGAGTACTCCA